CATTAATAAAGCTTACAATTACAAGTGGTGACCATCAAGGAAATTATTTGTTTTCATGGAAAGCGAAGCAGATGGCCGAGAAAAATCCCGGAATCTTCCATGTGTTCACAGTCTCCTTCCCAATATTTTCCGAGCATCTGGTTTAGAATCATCTCGAGTAATTGTGTCTATTGAGCAAAAATAACAATTTCAGTACTATAGTCAGTTCCCTTTAACAGTGTTATGATAGGGGAAAACGGGAGCAGGTTGAAAACTATCACAAGGGGGGGACGGACAGATGCTCTTCAATTTCATATCGGGCATAGCTCACCTGGACACCCCACGAACTGCACCTGACCCTCTCCTCTCAAATTGGGAAATTGGAAAGAAAATCGTTGTGACAAGCCTGTTAATGACAAGAGATATTGCACAATCGGTAATCTTTTGACTCTTGTTAGGCGATTATTTAATGTAAAAAGGGAAGGAGCGTAAATTATCCAACCATTGCAAACTCATCAGACTTTGAAGATTTCGGGAAATTGAACTTCATTAGAGCTATAGTAAGACTCTTGTTTCACTATAAAATGCAGAAATTCAACCTGGTAGATTGATTCAGTAAACAATTTTCCTTTTAAATGTCATTTGATTTTTTTTTGTTTTTCCCCTTGTATAAACCATGTCTGAAATATTATTGACGGGGAATCCATGTGAAAATTAGCAAATGTTCCTCTTCTATTTTCCCCCCTTTTTCATCTTTTCTCTTTGATGAGAGCCGATTTTTGGGATAGCAAGTGATGGGAATGACTGCACCTGTGTCAAACGAACAATCACACACATGGGGAAATTCCCGATCTCTTTTCCACCGATACAACTTAAAATAAAGCCATACCCAATTTAGCAGTTAGACTTTAACGCTGGATGACTCGGGGATTCATAGTTTTAGCATAAAGAGATTAACAAGAGGACAAAATTGCCTAAAGCATGGCAATTTTTTGAAAAGCTATCGTAAACTTGCTTCAAATTTGATCAAATCTATGAATTTTTGTATCATTTAGCTTCATCGAGATGGATTCCCATTATAGTTTTTATGAAAGTTGCCACGCTTTAGAAAGCATATTTAAGAGAAGCACATTTCACCGGGAATTGACCTGTACACGGTGTTCCAAAAGTCAGTTCAACTCGATTTTTCTCAGCACTTCTAGTGGCTCCTGGAGGTTTTTGTGGTGCTAAAGTGAATATTTTGGGTGGCCAAATTTCTGATATTTTTCACTTTTTCTCGATTTTATGACTCCTATACTTGGAAATTTCTGAGCCACCATATGGGCCACCACCATGAGACTTTTTGGCATAAAATTAAAACTACTGGCATCGTGGTGTCATATTAGAGTTAATATATAAACTAAAATTCTTAGCCAAACACTTTTTTCCATCTACATTTTATGATACCGTATTTTCTCTAATAGTAGTGCACCCTGAGCGTCCCCTAAATTGATTGAAATCTCGAGAACCGCTTATCAGAACCTATCGATGTGGGGTCGGAAAATGTAGCTGGCGATGAGATCTAGTGGGGGATTAGAGTGTTGAGCTTCTGCAAAAGCTTGGAAACCGTAAAATAGTCACCAACTCGGCTCGGTGGGGTGCACTACTATTAGAGAAAATACGGTAATCTGTCATACATAAGAGATTTTCAACTCGCCTTTTTTTAAAGAAGCGTCCCGTTTTTCCAAGGAAACGCTCATCAATAGAGTGTATAGTTAAAATTTGTAGTTATCCTAATAGCGTTTATTATGCACCACGATGCCAGTAGAAAGTTTTAATTTTATGCCAAAAAGTCTCATGGTGGCTCAGAAATTTCCAAGTATTGGAGTCATAAAATCGAGAAAAAGTGAAAAATATTAGAAATTTGCCCGCCCAAAATATTCACTTTAGCACCACAAAAACCTCCAGGAGCCACTAGAAGTTCTGAGAAAAATCGAGTTGAACTGACTTTTTTTTGGAACATCCTATATATTTTGCAATGACCGTTCCCACTTTTCCATTTCTCCATCATATTAAAATTTTTAAGAGGAATATTTAGGTGATAGATGCCAATAGCACGATTTGAGAACTATAACTGGCAGATTGAAGGAAGAGGAGGGGATGGGTGTTGAGGGGAAACTCTCAGCTGTCGCGTCAGGTGCACCACTTCGATCTCCCTCCCCCCCCCCCCGCCCACCTTTCCTCTACCATTTTTCTTCTCATCAAACATAAATACCCTTCTGCTGTTCGCTTTTCCGAATATTGGCGAACAGATGAACAGATGAGGGAACTCTTGGGGTCAATCGAAGAAGTGTGTACAATTTCGGTGCACCTGTTGAAATCTGGAAAAGGAGCCGAATAATTGGATTGAGAGTCGGTGATTTGATAGATCTGACAGCTGAATTATTTTAAGAAATAGGGTAGAAACGGTAACAATATGTAGAGTATCTTGTTAAACTCCATAGAACCCATCTTGGAATCAGTTAGTTAAACTAGCTACAGGTATTGTTATTGTAAATATTGTTATATTATTCTTTTGTGCAATTAATTAATCACATCACAATTGATTATTTTGTGATATCATAGGGTTGAAATGAAAGAAGCTAGCGTCTCTTCAAAATGAAAGCCGAGCAGCTGGATTGTCAGGTGGTCAGTTTTGGGAGAATAAGCCTTTCTGATGGACATTAGAGAGTGGACATTCTGTTATAAATGACATAAGGAATTTTCTGTTTAATCAGATAATTGATGAAAATCTTATAAGAATCAATTAAAATACTTTGAAAACTTTCGAAAATTCGTTTTAGGGTTATCAAAAAGTTCCCCGCACACTTGTAAATGATTCTTCTAAATGAAAGCTAAAACAAAATTTGCTTATAGGATTTTGAAGCTGAAATTTCGATGATATCTATAAGTAAATGACTCGGAACAGAAATTTCTAGCTTTTTCAAGAAGCCTTGCACTGACGATCTCGTGATCGAGATCAAATGGCCAGCTAGACACCTATGTGGACGAACGCCTATTGTGCGAGATTTAAGATGCGTCGCTATTCGTTCAACTCCATTGTGTGTAAGACGAGACCAACGCCTGAGTTCCGTATAAAAGCAATGTGAACGAGCTGCTGACATGTGCCGTGGAGTCGTCTCTACTCTCCCAATCCCAAACCACTGAACCAACTATTATTGCTGTAATAAAGATTATATCTAAACCAACAGTAATCACTACATGCACAGCATTCGAGGCAAATCACCCGTCAGACAAACACAGTTTTGCATGTTTTTCAAGACTATTTTTACGTTTGACAAGTGATTTTATTCTTTTAAAATAACAATTCTACTTAATACTTAAAACAAAAGTGTAAATCTAAAAAGACTTTTTTTGAAGGATTTTTCAATTGAAAACAGGTTCAAATAGGTGAACGCTATGAGAGTTTGCCTCTAGCACACTACAATGCTTCTGTTGAGAGCTTTTGAGAGCTAGATGGGTTTGATCACGGTGGTTTAGGTATAGAAATGCTTCCCACAATTTCAACTTCAAAATACTATTTAGTAAATCGAATTTCGATTTGGATTTTAGCTGAAAAATGGAGGTTCTTTTGTAAAGTGTACGGGAAATTTTTCAGCACACTGTAGTGATAGGAGCTACAGTACAGAGTGTCCCATATATAGTGTTGAGCTTAATGCATCTTTTTTTTTGCTTTCTAAGACAATACATTAACCTAAGCTGAAAAACAACAATTGATTATAAAAGCTACGTGTAATAGAATAGAAGAACCGTAACATTTTTGAATGACTTTGACAACCCTAACCCAGCAGTACAAAAAATGCTATGCGGCACAATGCTGAAAAACAGTTAAATTCGAGTTTAGGGTTCCTAAAAAACCGTCTCTTTCCATCTTTTTTTGCATTAACGAGTTTTTAACATTAATTACTATAAAGTGAATGCTTTTTGAGCTTTTTGAGAATGATTATTGCTAATGCGAGCTTATCTTTGGCTAACAAAAATAAGCAAATGACAAAATTTTAGAAAATTCTCATTTCTTCGCAGTAATCACCTTTAAATTCTTAAATGAAATGAATAAAGTTTGAAATTTTTACACAAATCATGAATCTAGTGAAAAAATGTCCGTAGATTTCAAATATCTAAACGAAAAACTTGTCAACTCTTTTGGTTTTTGAGAAAAATCAACTTTTGTAGAGCGCAACACTAAACGGTGGCGCACAATTACCCGCACTCAGTTCAAATTCACATTTTGAACTCTTTGATTTCTAATCGAAATTCATTGTTTTCTAGTAAAAATCAGCTAGATTTTGGAAATAATAAGTAAAAAAGAGTAAATGAAGGCATTTCTTTGATTTTGAGGCATTGAAACTAGTTACAAAAACCAGAAAATTGTGATTCTGTCGCAGGAAAAGCGTGTCACAACTTTGCAGCGCTCTAGCAAAATTTTAGAAGCTTTTCTGATCAAATCGAGAAAACAAATTGCAGGAGAAATATTCAATTTAATAATAAAAAAAAGAATTAGGTCGATTGATTGACTCTTCGCTAAGTTGGAGAATGAATCTGAACTGAGTGCGGGTAATTGTGCGCCACTCTGTATATATGGGACACCCTGGACAGTGTTCCTGGACAGTGTTCCTGGACAGTGTTCCTGGACAGTGTTCCTGGACAGTGTTCCTGGACAGTGTTCCTGGACAGTGTTCCTGGACAGTGTTCCTGGACAGTGTTCCTGTACAGTGTTCCTGTACAGTGTTCCTGTACAGTTGTGTGGTTTGTAACTTGACTGTAAATTGATTAATTTAAAATTTTATATACATGCAAATATTTCTCAAGAAAAACAAAGAAATGTAATCTAACGAATATTAGAAGCTAAACTAATATTAGAAGAATTCAATAAACAAAATAATATTCGTAAAAATACCCGTGACGAGATCGCAAAGGGGAAAAGTCTATAGAAAAGAGAATCACAGATTGGAGAATGAGAGGATTTCGATATTTTTTATTTATTTCTTTTCATTTGTGCTCACATTTTCGAACATTTCTGTGAGCTGAGCGGGCACTCCGTTCTCTTTATCATCCTGGAATTGTTTATTTAATACATTTTTTGAGAACATTTCTTTTGCTTTTTCATTTCAGCATTTCATTTGCATTTCAGCAATCAATTCTTCATTCAAAATCAAGTTCAAAAAGTCATTTATCTATTTAGCTATCTTTTTGAGAGTATTTTGTGCTCGAAAACTGGAAATGCACCCGTTCTAGCATACTTAAATTGGAAAGTTTGGAAAGATTCTTTGGAAAGATTGGAATCAAGTGCACTAGAAAGGTTGTCGTTCGTTTCGAGTCCGTTTACAGTTTCTGTGCACAAAGTACACACAAATGAACGACTCTGCATAATCAAAGATTGATTCAAAAGGGAATTTGATATTAAGCTATCAGGAAATCTTTTATAATCTCTTAAACTTAGCCAATTTTTGATAAAAAAAACAAGGTTAGAGTTTAATAAATTAACTTTAATTTGATTTTCTTTGATTCTTTTCAATTCAAACCTGCAATTGTTGTTGCAAATTTCGTATCCTTTCAATGGCTGAAAGGATCAATTCGAGTTGATCGTTTTGATCATTTTCTGAATGGCCCACCAATCGACGCAACTTTTCCTCGATCTGGAAATTGAAATAGTTCAAGTATTGTTTTAAGACTTTTTTTATCTAAAATTCTTTATAACTTTCTTTATTGATTTCCTTACCGATTTCCTCTCTTTCCTTTCTTGACTACTTTTCCTGACTCGACCACTTTTCGGTGAAAGGGAGCCTGTTCGAGTGAAATCTTCTAAAAAATAAATTCACAATTTTTGCGTTTCAAATCATAATATTGTTATTGCTTTTTGAAACTCACCAGTTGCTCTGTAAGATAGAGTTTTCATTTCAATGAATCGGTGAAAGTGGAGTCGAGTGGGAAAAGCAAAAATTAGCGAAGTTTTCCTTGAAGAATACAGAATTGAGCTCTGAAAACAATTCATTTGAGAATACAGAATTGAGCTCTGAAAACAATTCATAAACAAGTTTACGATTGAAATAATAAATGAAAAGTTTAGTTTAGGAATGAAAAGAGCAATGTTTGGTATTTGATACTCGTTTTAGAATCAGTAAATACAGGTATTTGGCTTAAATGTTCACTAAACTTTCAAATAAATGTCATATATTCGCTGATTCGCTTCTATTCGCCCCATGAATAAAGCATATATATATAATGGTCAAAAAAAAAGAACAAGAATTCTTAAACAAGTAAAACCATCTGAAAGCGGATCGTTTAATTTGTACTGAATATTAAATTTGTGTTTAAAACAAAAGAACTCAGCTCTAAAGAGCTTTAACTTGATGTAATGATATTGAACATGTTATTAACGAGAAAAAAGTATAGTGAGAAGAAGGGAATTGAGAATGGGGTTGGACACAAAATGAATGGATTTTGGATGGGGGTGGGAAGGGAGGGAGAGGGACCGCCCCTTTTGGAAGAGCTCAGTCACTCTTTTCCACTGTGCTCCATCCGGGAATCGAAACTGAGAGAAAGAAAAGAAAAAAAAGGAAAGGGGAGGGGCATATCTCTTTCTCTCTTCGATGTATAAGCGGGTGAACACCTGTGCCCTCTTTCCTTTCCTTTCTTCTTTAGAATCCTTTCCAAAGGAATCTCGATGATGTTTTGCTAGGGAATTTGCAGATTATAGAAGAAAAAAATAGTTATAGAAGGATTATAAAGTGATTTAAAGAATGTTATTTAAGCCTAAGCTTGTTCAATCAGTCCATTTCCTAAACGATGCACTATAGAAAGCAACCGTAAGTCTAGATCAGTAATAGTTCTACAGTTTTTTTTGCTAATGATCATCAAAAAGACTCTAAAAGATTGCTAGCGATCATCTAAAAGACTCTAAAAAGATTGCTAATGATCATCTAAAAGTTACCGTAATCCCATTGTCCAAAGCACTAAATTAAGTCAAATTTTAAACAACTGAAATAACAAGAGTCAAAGTTAAACAAGAATCCAAAGGTTACGATAGCTTTTTTTTAAGAATTTCTTTAACGGTTTAATCAAGTGGAACAGTCTTTCCAATTTTTCCAACTAAATATCTTTAAATAATCCTTTTGACCAGTCTAACTAAATATCTTTTACTAGTCCTATCTGATCCTTGAACACACTCGGATATCTTGAGGCAATCCAAAGTCTCTATATCTCAAGGCAATCCCTACTCAAATCTTCATTTTCTTCAAAGAAAACCCTTGAGGAGAAAGTGGGTGTGAAGACTCGCAAATCAAACAGTTTTCACTCACCAAAAGAGTATGAAACGAGTGACAATGAGTGACATTTTGAAGGGGAAAAGAAAGAGTAGAAAAGGGACTAAGTTTGGAGTTTAGACGAAAACTCTGGGTGACAATTATGGGAATAACGGGGGGAATTGGTGGAAATTCGTGAAAATTCGTGGATGAAAATTCAAATGTATGTTGGTTTAGGAGAGAAATAATCATAAAATGCGTTTTCTAAACAATACTTATTTTCCTACTGTAGTCAGAGCATCTGTTGAGACTTAATGGCACCAAATTGAACGAGTAATTGAACGAAAACTGATCGTAGTCTTTTAAAATAAGCACTTTTTAGAAACCGAAGAGATTATTTGAGGAATAGATTGTTTGGATTTATTTTGTCTATAAGAAATACTAGCTAAAAGTTCCCCTCTTGTCATTAGAGATAACGAGCATATGAGTACCGAATTCGAGAGATTTCAAGAAAAGCGAATCGAATCTCGACGAGGTGGGCCATCTGTGTTGCAGATGTGCGCCTGGGCAGCTATGGAAGGGGCAGAAGGGCCATCTATACCCCTCACCCCAGCAGACGTCGAGCAGATGAGCCTTTTGCTTGTGTGGGGGGACAGGTGGGCCACATTGCCTCAGGGCCCCAGATGGGCCCTAGTTCCCCATGAACCGACTGCTTGATATGAACACGCAGATGTGACCCGATCTCCTCTCACGAATCGCTGCTCGTTTGATGACTAAAATTGTAGACAATTGTTTTGAAAACATCTGTACAGCATACAGCTATTGGAAAGTGAAAGAGTGAAAGGTTTTCAGTCTGGTTTTCAGCTCTGAAGCATATAGAAAAGTCAGATAAATAGGTAAGCAGTGTTCTAGAGAAAATTTGGATCAACTTTCATTGGAAGCTGTCATTTTTAGTTCAACAAGCGAAACCTGAAGAACTTGATGGAATTTGGACTTTCAAGAAGTCCAAGAATTTCTCTTCTTTTGTTACTAATCCGATTTGGGTCTCTAAAAATTTGTCGGTATCACTTTTCACGATTGGGTCGTCGAATAGAGATGCAGGTGTGGGCAATGGAATGAATTGCGTCTGCAGCTGTCGTCTAAAATGAAAAGGGGCAGATCGGCTTGTTCGGGGTCGGCTTTTCTCTCAACTTTCATTACCATATTTCATTTGTGTCCCCCCCAGAATTTAGTAGCTTGCAAATTGAGGCCAGAGAGTTGGTTTTCGTTGGGGATTGTTCTCAAAAAGAGAAAGTCTTTTTTTTACTAGATAAGAATACTGTTTTTAAGCAAACCTGGAAAAGTTTATAACAATGATATAGCTATAAAACGGCTACTGTACTGTACTGTACTGTAATGTACTCAAAATTGAGCCACTTTAAATATTCTATACGAATATTTCACCGCTACGATATCAGCCCAAATTCGAAACTGTCTAAAATTTCAAATTGTTCCCTGTGAGAAGGTGAAAAGGCGAAATTTTGTGAACACGTGTTAATGGAGATTCGAAAAGGCGAAAAGTACACGAGCAACTGTTTCTGGGATTCAGAGAAATGGGGGGGAGAGGATTGTCCATAAAGGGCCACCTGGACCCCCGATCTCTTTCTTCACATTCGCAAATTCCCTTCTGGACTGACCCATATACAAATTGCATCTCTTTCTCTGTGTGGTGATGAGAAAATTCGTCAAAAGTTCACTCCTTTGTTGGAATGGGAGAAATCATCGAGGGACACGTGCATGGATTGGAAGGGAAAGACAGGCTTCCGATCTTTCCACTTCTCCACCCTTCACTGAATTTATTGCTGAGAATGGGGGGAAAGATTTGGGCAAACATTTAAAGGATTCGAAATTTCTGTTTTCAATAGAAATAGGATTGGAAAGGTTGGGGTGAAGATATTAGTTTACAAGCTAGCTAACTGCCTAGAATGATGATGAGTTGAAAATCGACAATCAACCAAATTTGAAACGAAAGTATGCAAGCTAAAAGACTAAATATCTTCAGATTGTAGCTAATTATCTAATGCTTTTCTTTACGAGATACTGTAATTAGACAAATGTTGAAAGTTTACAGTAGAACTTTGGAGTTACAGTAACTCTAAGCGCTGGCTCTCAACTAGCCATCACAAGTTTGATAGTCCAAAACCACTCAATGACCAGCTATTCATTGCAGATGATGATCGAGAAATGGATGAGCAGTTGGCACAAGGACACTCTCCATTACGCAATTCATATCGAAGGAGGAAAGTCTGCGAGTTTATTGGAAAAGAGGGGGCACACCTGTGGATTGAATGAAGATAGGAAAGGAAGGGAGGACCGTTTAGGAGCACTTAGGTAATTGAGATACCCAGAGTTTGATGAGAAGAAGAAACCTGTAATTTCGGGTAATAGTGGAGATTTGATGGGAAAACTGGTGGAAATTCATGGCCAATCCTTGAGTTTGAACATTCACTTACTTGTACAATAGCCAAAGTGCGAAAAACAAGGCCAGAGTCTGGCCAGAGCCAGCTCCAGGCCTGGAAAGCTCAGGGACTTTTTGTGAATCAGGCAAGGCAAGGCAAGGCAAGGACCTGCCTTCTGGTCTGGTCTGAGAATTATCTTTGGAACAACTCAGCTTTGTACTAGACTACTGACACTTCTTTATTACAAGAATCTCTTTGATTTACTTCTCGTTGAACCAGCTCAATCTGTTAGGTGAGGTGAAGGAACATATGGGACAAGAAGTGCTCCACTCTCGATTCAGCCATTACGCAATTCTTTGGGAGAAGGAAAAGGGAATTCCATGAACCTCTTCTCTTCTCAAGAGAACAGAACATATGGGAGAACATATCGGAAACCACAGATGTCCTCATGAATCTATATAATGGTTGACATGAATGAATCCCTTGAGATCATCTTTTCCAATCTATTCAGAGGTTATTCATCATTCAACAATATTTATGCGTTTAGGAGATCAAATCTGGACATCACAATTTGAAGATTGCTAAAGAAAACAGGAGCAAAATTAACTACCAAACATAGGCTAGAAATCCTAAACCAGAGTTAGTTCTAGCTTGACTCTAGGCCTGATCCTGTGCCAGTCAGAAGTCAGGGTTTGAGCATCCATCCATCAATGACAGAACAAATTCCAAACATCACCAATTCCTAGGCAACGGAACATCCTCGAAATGCCTAATCCTCTCGCCTATTGAGCCATCATGATTTGAGGGATTCCGATGCTTCCCCTCAACCCTCTCCCCGTTTCCACTAAAGACTTAAAGGGTTTCCTGCCAGCTGTCCCATCTTTTCTCGAGAGTTGATTCCTTGCAGTTCATGTGAGGCCCCTTCCATTCCCTTTCCCCTAATTGGGCCGGGTGTTCCGGGGCCCACCGAGGGCTTTCCCCTTCTTCTCATGAAAGAGCTCCCACATGGGATACTTGAAATGAAGAGAATCCACGTCGATGAGGAGACAGCCCTTCGCTCCCACAAATCAGAATTCGGCCATATGGACCCTGAAATTTCGAAGAGCTTAGCCAAGAGTTTGATGTGGGTTTTGGATAGAAAAGATGGCTATAACCGAGTTTTGAAACGTTTTAGTACATCTAGCAAGAAGTTGTTTACGTTTATTAAAGCCTGAAAAGCTTTAGATTTGAAGATTTCATATTTTCATAGTTTCAAAGTGAGACTTTAAGTCTCATAGTTAGCTTGAGATTGTAAAAGATCGAAAACCGATCTGCTAAAGATCAAGTAACAATCCTACTTAATTCTCTTTTCAAGTAACAATCCTACTTATACTGTTCGCTAATTCTTAAAGTAACATACAAAGTAAGCGCTCACGAAAGTGAACAGCCTAAATGTGCTTGTCAAGGGGTGCGCCCATGTGTTTTCCGCACAATGAGCAGCCACAAGGGAGAGGTGAATTCCAGATGACTTTCCAGATGATCTCCGGAGAATAAAGGAGGGGTTTTGGAGGTGAATGGGCGTGATGGGGAGTGGATGTGTTGTCCATTTCAATCGACATGTGCTCCTCTTCTTGCACCCAGCTTGGCAACACAATACCCTTCTTTTCCCAGTCTCTTTCCACAGAAATCCCTTCATATGGACCGACACATGGACTTGGTCTGGTGCTTCAAAATGAAAAAAACTTGCGCCAAATGACTACTTTGGAATTGGGATTTTCGATAAATGATTGTTTTAATGAAAATTTATATTTGAAGATTTGAGGAAGTCAGTTAAAGCTAGGAGCTTTTGATTCTGATGGATTTGATGGATTCTGATGGATTTGATGGATTCTGATGGATTTGATGGATTTGATGGATTCTGATGGATTTTGATGGATTCTGATGGAACAAATAATACTCATAGACAGGTCAAGGCAAATTATATATGATAACGAAAGAAAAAAGTAGAGATAAAGAAAATTGTTGACTACAAGTGTTGGCTTTTCTCTGCACTACTGAAACTCTGAATACGAGCCTAATTCAGTCTTAACTGTAAATCCCAAGCCAACAGATTCTTCAGCTATATTCTTTTTTATTTTCAAAAATTCAATCTTCCCTAGAGCATTGCGAAGAGAGTCTGTGAAGTGGCATACATATGTGTGCAGGTGTCGGTGCCTTTAAAAGGTGTGTACTCTTCCCTAGCCCCAATTCCCAATTTCAAGGTGGTGCTTTTGAATTGACAAAAGAAACATGAGATGGATGAATAAGAGGGGGGAAAAGGAGGGAATGAGATCTCTCTTTAAAAGAAAAGAGATCATTTCGGGGGGAAAGGTTGAGAAGAGCCATATGCAAAGTGCAAAGGGGAAATCGGCTCACACCTTGTGCACACTTGTCGCCCGTCACCACAAAGGAATCACATGCACACACCTTTGATCGCTTTTTTTGATCAAAGTTGCCCTTTTGAGAGAAAAGTTTGAATGTAAAGATTTGAAAGTAATTGCATTCCAGTTGGCTACTGTACTACTACTTTACAAGCTGTAAAGTAGCAAGCTTTACAAGCTTTACAAACCTTGTAAAGCAATATTACCTGGATTTTATTCTTGTTTTCTAAAAGATACTCTTCAGAAAGCTATCATAACACCATCATAACAGATTTAGCCCGTTCTTTGACCCCTTCACCGGACAAAAATCGACAAGTACTTGAGTTCAAAGAAAATGGGGTACGGTAGCTTTCAGAAACTACGAGAAACACATTGTAATGTGAATCGTATTGGTGCAGAACTTGGATTACCCATTTATTCGTACACCAGGTGTTACTGTAACTTAAGAACTCGAATTTCTCCCTTCCTTCACGATTGTTTACTTATACAGTCTTCACAAAAAGTGAGCGGTGGGTGGAGAATGAAAGGCGAGTCACGGAGTACAAAAAAAACAAGTGGTGTATGCAGGTGCTCACAGACAGAAAGGGGAATCACAGATAGGCAATGGGTAGGGGCACAAAGGCACAGCTGGGCTCTCTAACCCTCAAATCGGACCAAGTAAGAGATCCGGGATGGGCCTGTATGTGAAAAGGAAAAGATGAGTCGAGGGGTCAAAGGAGGGAAATCACCACACAAACATTTCCCGAGAAGATTTCTCTTTTTGGGAGAAAGTTGCTTTCCTTTTTTTTTTTGAAGAGAGACAAAGACGCGCAACTTTCTCTCTTCCAAAAACTTTCGCCCGCTTTAAACTATGAACAGGTGTGAATTCTTTTGGGCATACTGAGAGACTCATCTCTAACACCTGGGAGTTATCATTTGCATTGAGAAGAGTGTAGAAGTGAAATGTTGTTTACTCTGGTAAAAATGAAATGAAAATGAAATGAAAATCAATTCCCTGGCTAAGAATAGAGTATGTATTGCTCAAGAATAGCTTCTAAACCTGCAATACCTGAAATTGTCACCAAAATATACATCATAGATGTTGTTGTTGATTTTTTTCTCCATTAGATAGACTAGTGTGTTGTGTGCAAGCTGACTATTTTATTTTTTTTTTAATGAATTCAAAATTTTATGTTAAAGCGGGAATTTACTCAGACGGACAGCCCAAACCATTCGCCTCATATGGCACACAGGTGGGCCATCGGAAAAGCTGAATTTGAAATGACATCTGCGAAAACAAATTCTCCTGCCCCGTGCCCCCCTTTTCATTCACAAAATTGAGCTGATCGTTGGCGATGACAACGGGAATTGAGAGGGATTAACGGTTGATAAAATAAATTCAAAGGAAACAACTTACCAACAGAGAGAGAAAGGCTACAGTAAAAGAAACAAAAATCACTTTTAGAGATTTAATTTTTAAATGTGCTTGAGCTACAGTAAGATAAAGGGAAAATGAGAGCTTCTCTCGAAGGCTTATTATTTTTTTTGTTCTTCGATTCTGAGTACCTAGTTTTGGCGCTTGTTTTTGTGACTTTTAAAGCTCTATGCATTTTTTTACTTACAATTAGCTGCTTTTGAGAATACCTGATCTGTAAGCGCCTTGACCCTATAGCGTTAAGTATCGCAAGAAGCCTTTTTTATCATAATTTGGTATTTAAACTCTGGAAAAACTTAGATTCGAATTTTTAATTTTTTTAAACGAAATTTTATCCATATTTTCTCACTTTTATCTCTTGCTTTGTACGTTTATACACCTTTTTTTTCTATTTAGAGATGAAGGTATTCAAGTCGCTCAACTGTAGTCTCTGCAAGAAACCCTGTAAGTGGTGTTTTAAATTTCTTAATTAGTTTAATCACGAACCATAACGCAAATTCAAGCGTTTATTTTTATAACTTTCAATGTCTTTTTGTCTTTTTAGTTGCTCGGGTTGCCACGATCCCTCGATCGCCACGAAGATTGGCGTGTGAATTGCCAATGTGTCATCAATGTTTCGAAGAGGAAAAAGCAATGAAGAAAGAACAAAGGAAGCATCAATGCAACTATTCTAGTGCCTATACTGATTTGGATTTTATGAATCATAGCTGTGCATACTTTCTGATTGGTGGGGTTTATTTGATGTTTTCTTAGAATAAGTAGGGGTTATCTAGTGAAATTATTTTGATTTTTCCTTACATTGTTTAAATTCAGATTTTCTGTCGCAAGAAGGTTCTTTGCTTCTCTCGAAACATGGAGATTTGCTCCAGAAGGTTGTGTTCTCTTTTCTACAAAAGAAATCTGTTTTTAGTCATTTAAAATTCCAGAATGCCCGATTTGTCACGATGAATGCGAGTTATTACATTTTTCAAAGTAATTTTTGTATTTAGATTCAAATAAAATTGTGTAAAAGAGACCGTTTGCTCTTAAGTGCAGCCATACTATTTGTACGGAATGCTACCTCAAGGCACGGAGACCAAGTGAAGATGAACTCTGGAAAAGTGGTTATGAGATAACTTGTCCTATTTGTCGCTACAAAGATCACAAGATCAAAAAATCTTCTCGAAGGTAAAGAATTCCTTTTTCATCTTCTAACCTTGATTCAGATTTTCTGGATGAATTGCCCAGGATGACACGACAATTGAAATTTATGGAAAATTCGCGTGTTTGTGATGAGTGTGGCAATGAGGTGTCGTTTAATTTCAACATTAGAAATTTCATTTTAGGATGTTTCGGACAAAATGCTTCACTGCGAGTGTAATAGCGTCGTATGTTTACATAATTTGTCTTAAATTTATTTTTAGATCTGTGGTCCTTTTTTTTACAGGAAGCATCGTTCACAAAATGCAATGAGTCTAGTGGAGAAAAGGGTAGATTTTTTAAATTCTTTATAATCAAACTTCATCTTTGCGAACGGGTTGAAAAGCTTGTTCAGGCCTGTGAAATGAGAGAGGAAGTTCATAATGATACTTTTAACGCTACTGATACTTTTTTCCCCGAATTGCACAAGGAGCTTCTTGGTGATATTGACTCCTTTGGAACGGTAATATTTTTAAATATATAACTAATATATTTACTTTATACTTTTAAGAAGTTAATTTTGCATCAAAGCACACTCAGAAATGCACTCACTTTTGCCGATTTTTGTGAGAATCATTTGCGTGTTTTTGATTTTTTACATATTCCTAATAATTCTAACTTCTAGCAAGCTGAATACTGATTTTAAGGTCCATGCTGAGAACTACTTGCCCGCCTTGCGTAAATTTGACACCGAAATCAAGTTAAGTTAAGTTGAGTTTATGCTGAAAAATCTAAACTTTGTTTCCAGAAATTAATTCAAACCCTCGACAAGAACCTGCATGTTTAGTATAGAGTGAAGTACAATACGATTAAAAAAATATTTGGTGATTTTTTTAAATCTGATGAATAAAAATTTGAAGTTTTCTCGAATACAAGTCAGCTAAGAAAACAGAGCATAAAAAACTTGATTTGGTGACTGGAGGTTTATAGAAACTGAATGAAATCATGGATATGTAGTGGCAAAATTCTCTTTGCTTTCATTTATTTTTTGGGTATTGAGGGTGATAGGGGGATTGCCGAGTGAGTGATGAAAAGATGATAACTGAAAACGTTAAACTAGATTCAGTGCTGACAACCTCGACGATGATTCTGTTGAGTGGGCAATTCTCTCGATTCGACTCGTTCCATTCTTGGCGCAGTAGACTCAACTCTTCTTTTTATACCTATTTACTTGATTCTCAAAAATCGCCAAATTTCTTTAACTTTTAGAGATCATAATTTTCTGAGCGCAAACCATTTTCTGTCACCTCGGAAAGTCTGCATCTTTTTCCATTTGCTTTCTTTGTTCTGCTAAATTCACTGCCTAAAGTATCTCAAAGTTAATTTTTCTCATTAAAAAGTTCTAGCCAAAATACAAATGGCTTCAACTCTCACTGATTCGGCCATTGCTTTTTGTACAGTCCGTGGATACGAGTGGCAAAGATTGAAAAACATTTGAAGGCCATTGAAAGGATAAAAAACGCGTTAGAAAATTTGTTAAAATTGTTGTTGTTAAAATAAATAGTAAAAATCACGTGAAAATCAGCCAGGAATTTAAATGCAAATTGATGTAATTATGCAAATTTTGAGTGCCCCTAAACTCCCATAGCCCGTCACTTTTCGTCGAAGGCTGCTCGAGTGAGGTTAGTTTTTTAATTTTTTTAAAAGTTTACCTTTCTTATTGACAGCTTATTCTTGGGTCAGCTCTTTTTGGATTTTGTTATCCATTAGATGATCAAAGTTTACTTACCTAATATCTTTACTGAGCTTTGTATTTACTTTATTTCATTTCATTTAGAATGCCACCACCAGCACCAAACGGAAGATCGAAAAAGAAAGACAAAAAGAAGAAGGACATGGCACAAGTGACACCCGGAGAAACTCCAGGTTAGGAAGCTTTTTGATTTCGGGACTCTACTTCGGCTTGTTATTTTAGTTTTACCTATTTGTTTAGATGCTAACAACACCAATGCCATTGGTGAAGCTCCTGCCACACCTGAAGTAACCGAACAAGCGCTCCCTCCAGCTCCAGCTCCCACTCCCGATGCGCCTCCGAAAGCAAAAGAACCAAAAGCGGCGGCTAAACAACAACAAGATGGAGAACTGCCGGATGCAGACAATCCCGCTGGGTCAAAGGATCTTCCAGATATGCCCATGGTAGGAATAGTTTTCTTGGCTGTTATAATTGATAAGTTTAGACTATCGCAGAAAAGAGCATGCTTGGAACACCCGACATTGCCTCATTGCCGGCCGGAAAACTCATCACAGAGCGTTGGAAGATAATCGATAAGCTTGGAGAAGGCGGCGGTGGAGCTGTGTATCGAGTAACCGACAACACGATGGCATATGTTCAAAGAGCACTAAAGGTATCCGTTTCTGAATTTGAATTTGTGATTTTAATGACTTGTTTAGATTGAAGCAAGTGCGGATGCAGCAGGCGCATTGAAGCTGGAGTATGGACTGCTCACCGATCTTCAGAAAGTCAATCATTCGGTTCAGATTATCGTCGCGGGGAAACTACCAGAATTCAGGTAACTTTCGAGTTATCGTACTAGATTCATCCATTTTATAGGTACATGGTGATCCAATTACTCGGCAAGGATTTGTATGCCCTAAAACGTTCTCTCACTGAGCCGATTTCCGATGGGTCCATTTTCAAGATCGGAATGATGTCTTTGTACGCTATCAAACAGGTAAAGTTTAGAAATGTAGCGTTTTTAAAAGGAAATATTTTTAGTTGCATGAAATCGGCTATATTCATCGGGACATAAAACCGGGAAATCTGATGTTTGGACGAGAGGGTCGAGAACGACAAACAATCTACCTCATCGACTACGGAATGGTTCGATCCTATGTGCGGAAAGTCGGCGACAAATGGAAAGTGCGAAAAGAACGGGAGAAATGCGAATTTCGGTTTGGTACCTTCTTTTATCGTAAATATTTTCTTTTTAGTGGAACACTTCGCTATTGCTCACTGAATGTACACATGCGCAGGGAACAATGTCGCGCCGATGATCTCTGGTCGTTGCTGTATTCGATGACGGAAGTGCACTTTCGCTTGCCATGGAACAAAGAGAACGATGAGGAAAAGATTATGCGCTCAAAAAAGACGCTACCAGATACGACAATATTTATGGCATGCAATTCCGTTTTTATCTTTAATGTTTAAATTTCAGCATTGCCCTCGCGAGTTCATCGAAATCAAGCATTATCTCAAAGGACTGACGTATGCTGATCGCCCGGACTATTTGAAAATCTATCAAATTGTATCCTTTTCTGATATTTTATTAATTGAAGTAATTTTAGATGTGGAAAGGAATGAAACGCAATAAATTTCAATTTTCCACTCCTTTCGAATGGAACAAAGATGTAGACGATCCTCAAACAGCCATCGAATCGAATCCAGACGAGAAAAGGGGCGAAAAGTGTGAAAATCGTAAGTGATTTTGCCGGAGACCTTAATCACCTTGTTGCTGTTTAGCCGATGAATTGGACTACAAGCTCTTCCCAATGATTCATCCCGACCGCTTCAAGGAAAACATTATTGGATTGTGAAAGCTTGCTCATGAATTAAATGATTTTTGCTATTTGATTCAAAACTCGATTATCTGTATAAATAAACGCTTCATGAAGTTCCTGTTTTGAAAAAAGCAGATCATTGGTTTACTTAAAAAGCGAATATTTTCATGGTTTGAGACTCAACTAAGTATAAACAATTTAACCTTGCGTTTAAAATATTCGGTTAAGCAATTGCGTTTTTGCAATCTTGTCGCAAAAATCGCTTATTCCGCAAAAAAATTTTCTTTTATACGATCGGCCATGTGGAGAAAACCATGCTAGTTTTTAAATTGTTTGGGTACTCAACGGATAAAGGGATAACATGCTCTCATAGTGAACCAATGTTTTCGTTGTTTCTTTGCTACAATTTTTGTCAGCCCTGTTATTCGTTAAGTACACGTTCGAATTGAGACCGTGACGTCATTTTGAATTTTAGTGGCCAACTCGATGTCACGACGGACCTACTTAGATCCCAAATGGAAACCGGGCCCATCGGCTCCCCGCAATAACAATCAACCGAATTTCAACAGGCAGCAAGGCTTTGGGCGTCCAGCTCGGTAATACATTTTTTGTTTTACAATGTTTTTGCTTTTTAGTTTCATGAAATTCAATGGAAGAAGATCATTTCAACCGCAATTCAAGACGGTTTACAATGGCATTGAGGATCGAGGGCAGGCCCCCGATGATAGCTCAGGTACATAATGCTTTGCTTTAGAAGAAAAGACTTTCTTGACAGTATCTGATTGTTTTAATTTTAGACGATACCGAGGCGGGAAACAGGCGCCGTGAAGTTCGCAAACGCGTTCGTACTCAGATCGATCGAATTGTCGGGGATGTCGATGGAGTGAACTCGCAATCGCCTCCACTAAAGCTGCACCGTGTTTATACTGCTCAAAATCGACGGAGCAGCGTCCTCAAACGCATGGAAGACATGATTAGGTGGCTTAATTAACTAACTTGACTTTTCATCTTGGAAAATAGGGAAGATAACGATGAGATAGACTGGGATACGGATGATGATCAACATTCACATCAAAACAAGCAACAAAAAGTCGATGAACTGCAGACGTTTGATGCATGTCATGGTGTTTTATGTTAATGATTAAGATGTTATAGGTGCGCATACAAGCTATCGCGAAACGTATCATGAAGCTAAAGGAAACACAACCGATTGGCTGGGTCAAGGAGGTATGGTGTATTGCTTGAGTAAAAGGACGATGCAACTTATTTTAGTTAGAAAAACTTGAAGCAATGCAGCTTTCATTGGAAGAAAAGCGCTTCGACTTAATGCAAACACAGCCTAGCAACTCTAAACGTTTGCCTAATCAGTTGGTTACATTCTTTAATGTAAGCTAACGCTATGCTCTAGTCCACAATTGGGGAGACGTCGTTCTTCTCGATGTGAAAAACAGCAGCGACCTGACCAATCCACACAACGTCGTCAAACAAGCGGCCCGCAACATAGAAGCAACAAAGAGCAAGACTCAGACGCTTCTACAACCCTACAAGGTTACATCTTTTTAAACGCAGTGTTAATAAATTTGTTTTTAGAATCTTCGGATAACGAAGCCGACGTAAAAGAAGCTGTTACAAAAGATGATATTCGAGGTTCATTGCCTACTTTCAAATTTTATGACCAGCCACTTTAGCTCTGCGGGCTCGCTTAACAAGCTGCTTGGAAAATCTAACAGCAAATCCGGCAAGGTTTGAATTATGTTTTGATGCAATCAAATCTTATTTATTCAGTCAACCTCAACCAACAGCGACCGCGCCAGTGTCTCAGATCTCAACCAACAATAAGTCCCGACGATCAGGTTGAGATCGCTCTCACTTCTGAAGCTTATCTTTATTTTAGATATTTCTGATCCTTATCAAACACCAAAACAGCGTTTTTCGGATAACGACGATTCTCCGTGTTTGAAAGAGAAGAGTGAGCGAAACGTCTTAGGAATTTTATCAAAGAAGCTTGATGTCAACTACAAGGGGTTTGAACCTTACACAGGAGTAAAATGCCGTAAATGCTGTATTAGAATGACACCCCCCTGACCCCTCGAAATCTTGACTTTAGACCCCCGTTGTGGGGGTCTAAAGACTAAAGGACCTAAAACCTACTAAAGTGTTATCGGCAGTAAAATTTAAAACGCTATTTTTGAAAAAATATAAATAATTTTTTGACGGGTTTTTTCTTGGAGATTCAAAGAGGGTCGCGGGTAATAAAATAGTTTCACTTTTAAACGTGTTTTTTGTACGTTTTGAACAAAGGGTCAACGTTTAAAATAGTTCTTAACGAATTCTACATTTTTGATTCATGTGGCCCCCTTTATCTACTTTTTGGATCGGTCGATTTTGAGGGGTTGAAAAATAGAATGCCATGTCATTCAAATACAGCATTTACGGTAAACGTTTTTAGGACTCTGGAATTTCCTTTTGATGCTGCCAAAGTTGCTGCGCGAATCGTTGGGCATTTTCCGTGTATCCCACTTCGCGAATCAGATCAACGTAGTAGGTATGTTAGTTTTTTTGTGGCCCAAGTTATTCCCACGTTTAGCTATATCAAGACGTGTATTGGTGTTTTGGTTCATCGTCTAGATCGAGCACGGGAAGTCCCTGAAGAAAATCGAGAAAGGGTACCAAAGTTTAATTCATCCTCAAAACAATCCTTCCATTTATAGTCAGCATCTGACGAGATTATGAATCGTACAACGAGCATTGAACGACGAGAAGAAAGTAGTCCTCCAATTTTGTAAGTGTGTAGGTTGTTTTAAGTTTGAATCTTTTTAGGGGCAGCAACGCCCAAGCCGACGAAAACATTTTTGGTGAAGACGATCATTTGGCAATGGCTGCCATAGATCATCCTAGGTAACTTTATTGTAAAAATGTGACTCAATGCAATTTTAGTTTTTACGCCGTTGATTCAAATAATGAAGACATTGACGAAAATGGCATGAGGTTTGCTTTGTCCGCATTTACCTCAAATATTTATTTAGATCTCATAGCCCGATTCTTGGCATGGATCATGAAAAAACGCCACCTTTGGAACGATTCTTCAATGAGACCATTCGTGGAGTGCGCGAGTTGGACAACGCTGGTTTTTTTTAAAGCCTTGTTTAGTAGCTACGACTTCTTTAGGAGACTTCACTATCAACTTTGGCCAATTTGTACCTCCAACTGTCCCAAGAACTGAAGGCAATAAGTCGCACCAAACGTCGACGACTATAATTGCCAAGACGAATAGTCAGGTTACTTTTATATGACTTATTATAACAATCGTTGGTAAAGGTTTTGCGAGAAGGGCTCAGCGATGATGATTCACCACAAATTTTGTCTGGCTTTCAGCAATTCTCCAGCCCTTCAGACGCGACTAGGTCTGTTTTTAACTAGAAGTTTACTAATTGATTTTCTAGCCCTCCTTTCTTCGATCATTTTGCTGGGGGGCAATCGTCACACATTCAAGGTAATATTTCTCTGAGATTAAAACTAAATTTTTTTAGTGGATTCACGGTCGTCCTCAACACCATCATTTCTCAAAGGAATGGCGTTTACTTCAAGAACCTCAGAAGGGGTTTGTTCCGGAATAACTTTTTGATTTTAATTTGTTTTAGAATCTAGCAAATTTGATGACTCCACAATCGGATTTCGGACATCTATTTCCACAACAATCTCGACTTACAAACGCAAACTTTTCGCAAGCAAGGGCTTCTCAATCTTCACGTGGAGCGTTTGATTGGTTCAATGTAATTTCTTTATTTATATTTGACAGAAATTCGTATTTAGAAATTTGACGCCAACAACCAATTTGGATAAACAACAAAAGCGGCATCATTATCGGACATTTGAAAATGTGTTTAAGTTAGTAATTTTTTAAGCCCTGATTTTTGTTAACTTTCTATGTGTTTAGATATTAATATCTGTTACTTTTGTGATATCTTTAGATTGTCGCTGGATTATATATTTCTTGTGATTATAGTTGCTTAGTTGTTATTAATTTACTCACCTGGTTGATTGAAAGTAAATATTTTTCGTTGCTGTTCGATGAAAATGTGTCATTTTTAATGGTAATTGGTATTTGTTTTTTATGGCAATTTTTTGACTTGCCTTGACTCTGTGGGGCAGTAGGCTTTTGGCAAAATTGGACTTGGTGCTGTGTTGGTTTCAGGATGGTTAAACATTGTGAGGCAATCGATTGCATGTTCCGAGAAACAGCAGTGAGTCTTGTGAACAAAAGAAAAACTCTCGACACTTAATGGCGTTCTGACTTTTATTATTTACCCCTCTTTTGAGATATCCCGGTGTCCCGGGGAGACAAACAGCAAAGTTTCCGTTTTTAGGGGGGGACCGATTGTGCATTATAATGTTTGAAAAGTTTTGTGTACGGATATTGATCGACAAGAAAATAAATAACTACAGTAATAGTAGCGCCCCCTCCGTATAGTCGCGTAGTCGCAAAAATTTTTTATTAAATAATTTTTTTCCAAGCGCTTATAATTTCTAAAAATTCATGTTTGGTATCAAAAAATAGCCCTGAATTTCAGCTTTCATTTGATACTTAAGCGCATACTGTAACATAAACGGGTGGGGAGGAAAATGCGTTTAAAGTTAGACTACGCGACGCTCCGACCGTCATTATAGGGGGCGCTACTATTAGAGGTATTACCGTAAGTGAATGCTAGATAGTGCTAAGAGATTTATCAGGAGATTAAAACAATCGTTTAACCGGAATCCCGCTCGTTTTCTCATCAACTTTCATATAAGTACACGATTGAAATGTTTTAGAGACGCTAATGTTTAGCGGGAGGGCACAGCAGGACTTGCAGGAAGGCGGATGGAGCATCCACAACAATGGATTTTTGAGCAACCACAGGCGCATGAAACCAGAAAGGTGAGGTGTTTAGTTTATCTATTTACCTGTTTTTTTCGTCACTTTTCTGTCTTCAATGTATTAATTTAGTTCTTCTGGAAGTTTCTCGCATAGATTACAATGTGATGGCTACAAATCAAACGGATTCATCAGAAACAACCCGGCAAAAACTCCGCAAATGATCTACTCGTCCGATCTTCCATTTGACCAAGAAGTGATTGCTGAGCTTGTTGAAGGACCACTGGATTTCGAAAATAACGATGGTGAATTGAGCTTCTTTGTGCGTATGAAGGAATTTCCTGACGATAGGTAAAAGCCTTTATCAAGTCAATGGTGTTGATGTTATTCTTTTAGTTATTATCACATGCAACGTGCGTTAGATCGTTATGTCACCACAAAGTCACCAGATGTAAATGTGCCAAAAGATGGAGACTGTGTGATCGCGGCTCGTCAAGGAGTTGGTTATCGAGGACGCGTTGTTCACTCAGATGATGGCTATCATCTTTACTTGTTTGATCACGGCGTAGCGGTAAAGTATTTTTATAATGTTATAATGTTTGTAATGTTCATCTTTTATGTTTAGCGTTTGGTTAAAGAAATGTGGCTAATCAATAATTCCAAAGATCATGCAACAAAGCTTTTTCATCTTTCTGGGGCGGTAACTTTTTATCGTGGCTTATAAAAAGTTCTCTATTATTTCTATATGTAAATATTTTCAGGTTGTTGAGTGTCAGCTTGCCGGCGTTCAATTTAAAGACAGCTCTTCAAAAGAAAAAGTGCGACAAGTTCTGGATGCTCTCCGGGAGCGGCCAAATGTAACTATTCGTCTTACTCGAGTTGGATTCAATGGAAAAGTAAATCTCGTGAAGATGCTGGTTCAGTACGGTGAGTTGGTTTGCCACCTTCATAGATCTTATCATTTGTCTTTAGATTCAGTCCAACCGAGCATTAGCGATTTTGGATTGGCGATCATTGAGCATGACTTTGGTGTTTATGCGCCGTCAACTAAGAAGCCCACCACTTACAATAGAAGCGAATTATTGCAGTTGAGGGATTTAGCGGATGTGGGAAAGGTTTGTTTATGTGTGATTTTTTAGTAAATTGTTTTAGGATTTATCTGTCGGTTTGCACCGAATGAACATTCACAAGGACGATATGCCCCCCGAAACCACGAAACATCATTGAAACTACTAACAATTGGCAACAATTAATTACATATTTTGGTTTTCTTTATCGACTGGATTTAAAATATTAACTTGAATTGTAAATAACGACTTGGCTTTTTAATTATGCTTACGAATTTGAAATGCGATAACTTTGGTTTAGGACAAATAAATTATTCTTTTGTTTGCATTTTATCTCGACTAACGTTAAGTGGGTGGAAAATGGTGAATGTTTGACCATAAAAGCGTCTTTGCGGCGAGCGTTGGGGTGATTGCGCGTATCCAGCAATTTTTCGGTGTATGGCACAAAAAGTGTTTAAAAAGGGCCGACCGTTTAACGGCTGCTTACGTTATTCTGAATTACGTAACTTCACCCAATATTTTCGCATCGGTTACTCCTTTAATGATCGGTTTAGGCTTTGTGATCATATCAGCTTTTCGTCTAGGAAAACATTGCGGGTACTTTGAAACCTTTTTGCGGATTTCTTATTACTGTCGTTTTTTCAAGTCCTAGCTCATCTAATCCCTCATCTTTCTAATTTCATTCAAAGCCTCACCGACCTCATTTTGGATCTGACAAAGAAGGAAAGAAAAACGATTGAAAAATGGGTAGAGAAAGACACTCATAACCGAAAATGAGAGAGCTATCTTTTCTTTTTCTCTTTTCGTGACCTTTCTCACTCACTTTTTCCCTCCTCCATCCCCATTCCATCAAAATCCGAGGCCATTTTGTTCGGATTTCAGCGAGGTTTCAGGCTATTCATCCATTTAAGTCTATACATCTTCTGAAAAATGTTAAATTTGAGAGTATTTTTGGGCAACCACTGCAAGAGTGCGATGTTTGTATGCAAAGCGGCCTAAATATCGATGAGAGGGGCGCAATGTGGGGGATTGGAAGGGGAAAGGGAGACCTAAGCCTTCACTGACCTCAACGACCTGTTGAGAGGGCAAAGATGCGAAGAAATAGGTAAAAGAAGAGAAAGGCTAAACAAGGAGACCACTCAAATTCGAGGACTCCCCAGGGATTTCTCATCAAATCAAAGGTGCATCGAGACTTCTGGTGTAATTCTGGTTATATCTTAAAATTGTGAAGCCCAACCATGTTTCTATGAGCTAACCGTGGGATAAATCGAATTATATGTGCTTAAAATCCACTCAAGAACCAACTGATGAGAAAATCTAATGCAACACAGCGTTTAAAAGTACCTTGTGTCACTGCATGCAAATTTTTACCGTATCCCTTACAGCCGACCTTCTCATCCACCTCTGATCCTCTATCCTTTTTTCTTTTCTCACATTTATGTCTTTGACCAATCTTTTCCCTATTCTGTATCCAAGGTCATTCTCTTTAATGAATGAATGAATTGTCATCAGAAAAAAAATTGAGACAGAAACAAATTGATTCACTTTTGAGAGAAACGATTAACTTTGATGCGAGTTTGGAATGGCGACACAGTAATCCCTAGTCGATACTACCGAATCCCAGCTACCAGTCTGTTCAACGTTTCTTTGGTTGTCTTTGGTTCAACTATGCAGTCCGATTTGTCAACAGTCATCCTTTAAATAGCTATTGTTTATAATCAAACTTGAAATCAGTGTCAGCAGGTTTACGATCATTTCACATGATGTTTGCCAACTCGTACCCTCTCTTAATTGCGCATGGAGATGGGCAAAACGTTGAGCAATCGACATTTGACACCTTTGTCATGGTGAAGGTCGAGCACACAACTTGTAGAATTGTGAAGAAAAGTGGGAAAGAGAAGAGGATCCCGATTCTCGCCTTCGATTAGCATATAATAGAGGCATTGATGCGGTTGCGCAATCGATGGATGTGCATTCGACGAAGACAACACTCCCCAGGGGGACCAGGAGGAGAAGAGACTCTCGAATTTCTATTCATTCTTCACACCTAAATCTCTCCTTTTCTTCCAAAACATGGCATTTTCGTGGAGTGTCTTGAGAGGCAAACCAATTTTCACGCCTCTTTCCATCCAAGTGTTCATCGAATAATGACTTTGGGGATTTGGGGAATATTCAACTGATGAATAAAGGAATGGCTGGGGATTTTAGATTGCTGAAGATAAAAGAAGATAGAAGAAAGAAGAAAGAAGAAAGAAGATAGAAGAAAGAAGATAGAAAGAATTTATAGAGAACTTTTTAGAAAACGATTAAATTTATAAAGTCTATGACCATTCTTGGCTTTAATCAAGAAACGAAAGAATGAAATTGTTCTTTTATCAAATCCTAATACCAAGATTGCCATTGTAAACCTTTCTCATTTGCAGCTGATCGTCGACCACTTGATGTCATTAATCCTCTCTTCTATTTTCTTCATATCCGTATTACAGAGAGCACCTCGTTGTGTCGATAATATTCGTGTCAAATTGCGCAATAATGTACGATGATTGAGTTCGACTGAGAGACAACAAAAAAAAACAGCACAACCAGATATTCGATCCTCTTCACTGAATATCTTTTCTCTTTCCATTCCAATTTTTGGATTAACGTCTAGTTGACCGCGTCGAGTTCGGCGAACAGACGAGCCACACAAATTGCATAATCTTTTGCTCAATTTTCCGAGTGAGCTGTAAAGAGTGGATTTAAGAGCTATCAAATATAGCATTAATAAAAGATTTCAATATAAAAACGAGTAACGATAGAAATGGATAGATAAATATTAGCTAAAATGGTGTAGGTTTCGAGTTTTTATATGAAGTGCTGTCAGGTAAGGTTGTTTGGATACTAATAATAATAATATTAATACAATTTGTACCCCATTTTGTGCACTAAGTGACTCTTGTAGAAGCACTTAATCATACACAAAACTTACAGCTACAACTTACAGCCACAAGCTTACACAAAACATTATCAGGCTTATCTATAAAGCTTTTTCCTATCAAATTCCTAAAGCTTTCACTATATTTGTGCACTTAATCATAGCTTACAAGCTCTTGAAACGCTTCATTTTTCTTTGCTTTTCTTTGAATTGAAATCGAACGAATACAGCTGGCACCATTTTCATTTTCATCTTTTATCTGTACCTGGGATTGCAAAAGAAACATTTGGCCTTTTCTGTAAAATTAAAAAGCACAATGTAAGGCTTTGATTCCTTTTTAGCCTTTAAACCAATCTTATTCTTTCCGAAATTTATCTTTTAATACTAATTCGTTTATTTTTTTGTGTGTTTAAACTTATTGAACTGTTGAGCAAACCATTTTACACATTTATCGCCAACTAGGGCCATTCATAAAAAAAGCACACATAAAAAAATTTGTAACCCCGTTTCTCGGGCACCTGTACATGCAAAATTTGACAAAACATTGAGAAAAAACAAAATTATCACAAGAACTAGTGGTCGGCTTGAAAAATGGAAAAAAAAAGTGTTCAAAGCAGACTTTTTCGATCATTTCTACACAGTGGGCAATTGACAAATGGGGAAATATCCCCAGATGATCAAAGGAATTTTAAAAAAAAAAACCCGTCAAGAGTTATCAAAGAGGGAAATTCTCTGAGTTCTCTGGTGAAAAATTTCTCTCTTTGAAAATGAAGAGATTTTGAAGGCACACTATTTTACTTAAAATAGGTGAATTGCGAGGGAGAATTGTGGAATTTGATGGGCTCATGAAACCCATGAAATTGCTCATTTTGAATGAGACTTCAATGGTGGAGAGTTGAGATCGATGTTGGATTGGAATTTCGGTCGGAAATTGAAGATCTTAACTCTCCGCAAAAAGGCACAAAAGATAAAAGATGTTAAATATCACAGTTGAATGAGAATAGATTGAGGTGATTTGAATCATTTCATTTTCTCGAATTTCCTTGTCTTTTGTGGTGGTGATGGGTTGATGAGATGAGTGGGAAGTGTGATTTGAGAGAGGATTTCTGAAATCAAATCTATTTTAAACATTTTCAGGATTGTTTATTTTCTTTATTTTCTTTATTTTCTTTATTTTCTTTATTTTATTTTATTTATTTTGTTTATTTTCTGATATCGTATTAGATTGGAATATTAAAGATTAACTTCTAACTTAACAATCGAGTTAACTTAACTTAACAATCGAGTAACCAGAATCAAGAACTTCTACTGGTAAACGCAAAAAAAAGCCCAAGTACTGGTTTGTGAGTGAAGTGTGATCACTCACCCATTTCCTTCTCAAAAGTTTCCCTTCTTTCGTCGATTTCCCTTCCGTCAATAAATCACGTAAGTAGCTTGTCTAATTTTGGTCCTTCACCCAAAAAAACGCAAAAAAAGAAGTAAATTTGTGGTTTCCAAGTGACATTGACCGTTCTCTTTCTTACAGTATCGCAGATTTCTTTCATTGATACTCTTTTCCTTCTCAGGTAAGTTCTTTCCAATCTAATGTCTTTTTTTTACTGTCTCGATTTAGCCTCGTTTTTATGGGAGAAACAATTAAACGCTAAATAGTGGATGGGTTTATTGGGGGATAAACTTCAAGTACTTTTGCTAAATGGCTTACTGTATGGTTAGAATGGTTAAAAGATGGTTCGAAGATGAGAATGACTTTAAATGAGAAAGGATTTTACATAAAAAAGACTAACGCTTATACTTTTGGTACTACCTTGCTCAGTTCTGTATTGGATTTATTTATTTAACTTGTAGAAATGTAAAAGTTGAGAAGTTGAATACAACTAAACGAAAGGCGTTTCTTTAGAAAGCCAGCTATATTCTCAGCTCAAGTTCAGTTCATTCATAAAATTGAGCTGAGAATATAGCTGGCTTTCTAAAGAAACGCCTTTCTTTTAGTTGTATTCAACTTTTCAACTTTTACATTTTCTACTTGTGATCATTTGGTTTCGAGGAAAACTTTAGAAAGCGATGATCGGGAGCAGTTGTGAGTTGAACGGACAAAAGAAATGAGAGAAAGCAGCACATATGGCGCACAGTTGCCCTCGTTTGGTTGGGATTTTTGAGGGAAGGGGATCGGCTGTCTCTAATCAATTACAATTTAGTTTATTTAGAAAAAAAAGGAAATATAAACGTCTATTGTTACAAATTATACAGAGTTTTATTATCTTGAGAAATCGGGAAGGAAACCAGCAACAAAGAGTTGCGCTTTTATAAAGAATAAACTGTGTTTTTTTTGTGGATATTTGTATGACAAACCTCTGGGCAGTGTTCCTTGATTGACACGCGTGGAGACGAGATGAAGAAGTTCATCAATGTAGGCAACAGTGTCTTGGAGAACTCTCGTCGGCTCGGCTTGAGGATTTGAGATTTGAAGTGAAGGTGGAAGAATCGAGGCAAGACGAGAGAGTTCTTCTTTCTCTTCACGAGTTAAACGAGTCACTGAAATGAAAGTCTATGTAAAGATATGTCAAAAACTCAAACGAACTTTTCTTGACTTTTCGCGTCGGTTGTGCTTTCTTTACTTTGGAGGACAATTTGGGTAAAGGACGACGTGCAGGGATTGAGTGCATGATTCTAGAAATCGATTTGATGAATAAAAAAGTTTAGCAAATGAAAACAAGAGTAAATGAAAACAAGAGTAAATAAAAACAAGAGTAAATGAAAATAAAACTAAAAACTTATAGGAATAAGTAACTTATTGGTACACATCAATAAAAAAACGTGTAGGAGTAAGCTATGTAACTCTTATGGAAAACAAAGTAAAACTAATGCAAGAATGGGAACGATCGCGCACTTACAATCGTCAAAGGTGGTATCTGAGTATCGAGAGGGGTGGAGGAGGGCTAGTTAGGCCACGCCTCCCCCACACCCCTTTGAAGATCCCATCATTGAGAGAGGGGGTCATGGGTAGAGAGGAACATCTGCCACCACCCCTTCCCTCTCCTCCACTGTTCAGCCAGCTCCCCCTTCCTTTCATACCAATGCATGTCCACCCCTTTCCCCCAACCACTCCTTTTTCTGACCTGCAAAGAACGGTGGGAAAGTCTCTTTTTCTGATATTTTTTCGGTATTTGGGAAACAACCCAAACTATGGAAAAGTCTGAGTTTAAACGATTTTCAACGATGACTATTGAATTGGGAATTGGCAAGAACTCTAGAAGATATTAGATGTACAAGATATTCTAGAAGATATTAGATGTACAAGATATTGTCAGTCTATAAGATATTAGAGAAAAGAAGTAAAAGACAGAAGATATCTAAGATGATAGAAATATTGGAGGATAAGATATACAATGAGAATGTTAAGAAAGAGAAGAAGAAGCGGGAAGAAAGAGCTACAGTATTTCGTCTTCTGAAAGTATTTTAGGAAAGAGAAAGGATCATTTTGAAATAAATAGAACAAAGATGAGCCTTTTCATTCTTTCATAGGACTCAAAAATGATCTGTGACGATTGAATGACCTTTATATTCTTTTTTTTGTGGAGTGAGTGAGTGATAGTGGAGGTGAAAGGGCATGGATTGGGGTCATTTTATGTCCTAAGGAAAGGAAAATTTGAGAGAAATGTAAAGAAATGATGAGGATCAGATTGAGTGATAAGATATCGTGGAAAGGATTTGAAAGTAAAGGCATTCAAATTTTTGTGATATGAAAAGTGTTTGTTGATGAATGGAGCTTGCTTTGGAGTACAGGAAGTCAAAAAGTAAGTATTAAAGCTATTATTAAAGCCTACTATTAAAGCCAAATCATAAATAAGTACTGAACTTACAATCCATCGAATTTCATCAAATTACAATCTCATCAAATTTTTTCGCTACACAATGTTTCTCTTGACTGGCTGAATAGCTTTGTCTGAACTACTGTAGGCTACACTCTCATTATTCTAAATAATTTCCAATCTTTTTTCCCAATCAATTGTAGTACTAAACAAGTAAAATTCAAAGAATTCACTATGATTCTCATTTCTAAAAATGTAAATAATCTGTTAAACGAGTAAATAAGCAAACAATCGTTGAGCTCTCTTTCTCAAATAAAAGTTTTTGTGAATAATTTCTTGCGCAACTCGATCCCCCACAGATCCATCCACACTCCAACAGGTGCTTTTTCGAAAAGAGAGAAAAGTTCATCCCCATTCATTGAGTTTACTATTTATTGCCTTTTGGGATAATCTTTCAAATCAACATTTCAGCGGTCAACATTGTCAGATAGGTTGAGGAGAGTACTGTAGATGGAGGGTAGATTGAGGGTAGATTGAGGAGAGTACTGTAGGCTGAGTTAGGGAAATTGGTTCTTCTCGGAAATTCGGCTTTTTTCATTGTGAAAAGCAATCATATGCAAAACCCCAACGCCAATTCGTTTCTCTTAGGATTTTTTTTGGACAAAGGATTGAAATAAATTCCGCCAATAGATTCTGCGACCCTGAAAACCCCGGGACACAAATTTTTAACATTAAATCTCATTTGGGAATCATTTACAGAACAAAAGAAAAATCACTATGGAAAGTGAGCGCGAGATGTTCTTTGTACGACCGGGTAATCGTTCGCCATCTGGCACACCCTCGGGCATAGGGTGCGACGTCTTGTTAAACTAAAAACTAGTCTAGATACAATGTTAAAACTTTTTTTTACTAGTAACTTGCAACTCAGAATATTTGTATCTATAGTCTGGATGGAACTCTATTACTTTATACCTGAAAATAGAAGTTAATTGGTTGAAATGGGGTATCGAGCAATTAAAGATCTATTGCTCGATACCTGATTTCAACTGTTGATTCCAATGAAAAACCGTCAGGAAAGGAGAGTTTCCCAGCCTCGTAAACGAGTCACGCACGGTTTGACTCCCCTCTCAGAACTCAAATAAGGCGATTCGATGGAACCGATTTGCATGTGAATCCAATGGGAAGAAGGGAAGAAGGGAAGAAGGGAAGAAAGCAAGAAAGCAAGAAAGCAACACAAAAGAGATATCTTTTACAAAAAGAAAAGAGAGAAAAGATTAACTATATGCTGAGAAATTGGATTTTAAGTGTTGAGCGTATAGGTATTTGAAGAAGGGGAGGCCACAGTATAAGCCTTGATATCTATAGCTACAGTATAAGCCTTGATATCTACAGATAGTTACAGTACAAGCCCCAGCATGAGAGTAAAATAGTTTGTACATATTATCGTAGCTATTTAAAGGCTGGAGCTTGTTGTTTAGAATTTAGAAACTTAGAAACAAGTCATCATTTTTATATACTCTAATAACTAATAAGTACGGTCCTATTGAATATGAGAAAGAGTACGGAGAAAAGTTTGTCTTTAAAGTCATAAGGTGTTTAAGCTGAGTGACGTCACAGGATCAAAGTTAACAACTTTTATCCTTTTATACTAAACACAGAGAAATTTGGGACATACCGTATTTTCTCTAATAGTAGTGCACCCCGCCGAGCCGAGTTGATGACGATTTTACGGTTTCCAAGCTTTTGCAGAAGCTCAACACTCAAATCCCCCACTAGATCTCATCGTCAGCTACATTTTCCGACCGCACATCGATAGGTTCTGATAAGCGGTTCTCGAGATTTCGAGGAATTTAGGCGACGCTCAGGGTGCACTACTATTAGAGAAAATACGGTAATAGAAGTCTAGTAGTAGGCAATTTGTGAACTGGTACATTGCATTATGTTCTAAATTCTAAATTCTAATTCTTACTCTTTTAAACCCTTTCCCATTATAACAGCAACCAATTTTCCCATGCTGTCACCTCATATTTGAGGAAATCTCAGAAAGATCTCTATTTGGAGCATCAATATCCCTTCACTTCTTTCTTTGCTCACTCACAAATCAGTCGGTTTAATAAAAGGTGTGAGTCTGAGAGAAAAGATCTACTCAATGATAAATTGTGAGTGAGATACGGTATCTTTTCCAAGATTATCCTCTCATTTCATCCCTTTGAAGTCCTTCTTTTGAAATCTGTGAAACAATATGGTTCTCATTCTTGAAAGGATTCATTTTTCTTTGCTTTTCTTTGAATTGAAATCGAACGAATACAGCTGGCACCACCACATGCCATTTCTTTCGATTTGAGAAGAGTTTCACCGGGAGGAAATTGAAAAATTTGGATTTTTTTAGCTGAAATGATGGGTTTTTAGGGTAATTGATAAAGAGTGGAATAGCTAATGGAATAGCTAATGGAATAGCTAACCTTTTCAGAGCTTTGAGTTCGAAAAACTATCACACTTTTCTCTATCATAAAACTTTTTACCTAAAGATTGCCAGTGGATATAGTCAATGATGAGATGATGCTATTGGCAAGTGAAATAAATAAAGAGAATGAGATTTTCTGCGCGAGTGTTTATTGTATTGTTTACGGAAAGTGAGTGACAGAAATGGGAAGAGTGGAAGAGATTGACTCTTGATTGGTGACAATAAATCATCATTCATTTCAATAAAAATGAGCAATTGATGAGAGACTAATTGAGATGCCCGAGGCTGTTTGCGATCTTAAACCTTACATTACAAACCTTACATTACAATATCTTGGAATAAAAAGTTTTAAATCTTTAATCCTTCCCAGTGTTCTACCGCATTCATTCCTAATTTTTTTTTTTACGGATTTTGAATTAGAGTGAATTTCGAGGTTAATGGATGAAAAGTGTTGGGTTGAATGCGGAAAAGAATGGATTGTGAATGGGGAAATCTATGGATTTCACAGTCTGTAATTGACAGAATGAGAGAAAGAGTACCACCACAGTTGCTCTCACAATATTTCAAAGAGAGTTTTCCTTGGATATTCCTTGGATGGTTATATGTCAAAGTAAAGACAGAACAATCGTTGATCGATTACAGGGAATGAGAAGTGATTCTTTTGGTTTCTTGAATGAATACTGAAAGTTTGTAAAGCGGAAATCAATTTAGAAAAGTTTCACCGACTTGTCTCTTGTGAGATCTTTTAACTAAAAGATGCTAAAGCTTAAATTTAATAGGGTAAGTCTTACTACGTTTGTCTCGTTACCTGGCAAGTCTTGTATCTCGATACAAGGTAACGAGACAAACGTCTGCAAGTCTTGTATCGTCTTGTCTGGCATCTGGCAAGGTTGTTAAATCGATTCCAATTTCTGTCCACTTTCAACTAATGTCCCCTCTTGCGCACCTTAAGATCAAAAGCATTTTATCTGCTTTTCATTTGCTTTTCATTTGCTTTTCATCTGCCATAAAGATGCATGTACATATGAACGAGAGCAATTAAATGGGCAATCAAGCAGAGAAATTGTGACCATTCAATCTTTTGTGTTATTAACGATTTGAGATCAAAGAGATTTCTTAAAAAGATCCCTTAAAAAGATCCTCATTTCCCCTCTTGACTGTTCCATCTTTTCATTGTGTCCCTTTCTTTTGTGATTGCGCAATTGGCCCTCCGCTGTTCGAAAACAATTGATGACCTTGGAAAAGAGAATGGTTTGTTTTTACCGACACATCAATTTGTTGCAAAAATTGGGTAATTGTTTGAAAGCTTGGTATTAGGCTTAATTGGTATAAACCAAATGAAAGGATTCAATGGAACGGTAGCTGTAGTACACGGGTTCGCAATTTCTTTCAACCGCTAATCTTCGCTTTCCAATCGCTAACCCAAAAATGGCCTGCTCACCTTTCAACGGGTCAACACATGTGCCCTGCTTGAAATCGGCATCCTTTTAACTCATATCTAGATGTACCTGGGTAAAGACAAGAAATATTAGCCATATTGTAGAAAGGAGAGTTATTTGATATGTAAAGATGAAGGACTGGATGAGATCGACCCCAGGTGACCCCACCTCTTCACTTCCGGCATGTCAAAGACTTCTATTGAAGGGTTTCTTCCATCGATGACATATGGCTCACAACAAATATCATTTCTTTCATTTTGGCGTACAAATAAGGGATATGTTTGGTTAGGTATTTGGTTTTGGACGTGCGGCAAATGACAATAGATGGCGAGTGATACTTGGTAAATAGAAAGAGCCATAGCTTTAAGCCTTTACCGGGCTTTCAGCTATCAAGGTGGATATCGAAAGATTGAAAGGATTGCTAGACAATTCTTTATGACACCAATTTGTTTTCAAAGCTTACCACATCAAAATGACCGCTTGGATCAAATGAAAGCGGTCGAATGTGTGACATGAATTCATTGGGGGAACACACAGTTGGAGGGCAATTGTTGCATAATTGGTGTCTCCCTTGTGGCAGTCTTGAAAGCATTTCCGCCTTTCTATGTCCTTTCTCCCTTCCCACCAGCTGTCCCTTCTCTTTTCCATTCTGTCACTTGGGGTGTCTGTGAATCCATCGTTAAACTGTTCCCTTTTCTGGCCACCCGGGGTGAATCCCTTTGCATGAACCGCTTTGCACTCACCAATGACAACAATGTCTGTCAACCGTTACGCAAGGGATGGATACCTTCATTGAGATTCATTGACTAAGCATATTTTAGTGTAGAGTCAAGAATTTCATAGATAACCCTGTCAGTTTAACAGCTGGACTTAAAAGCGTTGATTGCATTGAAAGCTTTGTACAAATTCCGTCTGGGAATTTCCAAGTTTGGGCATTCCCACTTGTGCCTCGTTAGGGAAAGTGAATGAACAAAGAAAGGGGTAACAGCATGATGAGTGTTACGTTGGACATATGCAAATTTGGAAAATCGAAGTTGAAGTGCATAAGGGAAAAGATGGAAAGAGTGAAAAGAGAGTGAGTTTGGAGTAGAAAATGGAAAGCGGGAGTAGAAGGGAACCCCTGGGGAGTGAGTGGATGTTGCATAATAAGCATGAGTACGGGTCAACTTATTGGGGACTTTAAAGAATATGTGATTGGGTAAAATATTGGCAGTGCAAGATCCTAATCTATTTGCATGCTGTAGCGAGACTGGACGCGGAACTAAGCAGTTTCTCTAAGTCTATAATTCCAAAGCATATCCAAGATATACAATACATTAGCGTCTTGATTTATGAGATCGTGGCCGACTTCCAGCTGAGAAAGAAATGAAAATGAATTTCGATGAATGAATCAAGAAAAGCGTGAAAATGTCGCTCATTGAGTCAATGAGGAAATGGATCAATTCACGTTGATTAGCATAACCAAATTGTCTTCGATCCCTCAATCCGAATGGAAATTGAATCGCTCAATCTATCAACAATTTCACAAATCCTCGTTTGGATGGACCTGTGCTGATTTATAATTTATTTATAAGAGAAAAAGTGTCATGGTCTTAAAAAAAGCAAAATATCGTTTTCTTGCAAGAAAATGGCACCTAAATTGTGCCATTTTTGTAACAGAACCTATTTACTATATATACTCGTTTTTGCTTCACTTGGAAAATCAAAAAAAAGTGAAAACGAATCCTAAAATTTAACGCTAGACAACCAAAAAACAATGTTCATTCTAAAAAACAATTTTTGGTTTTCTAAAATGTAACTATTAATGTACTCAGTGCAAATTAAATACTCAGCCAAGCGACCCGATGAAAGGTAAATTTTGGCGAAAAATCATTTTCTCCTTCTCCCTCGTTGGTGATGGTGGCACGTTGTCCTTTTTAAATTTTATTAAACAGTTCGAAAACTTTTTGCTTTACTTTACTAATAAATTTCGCGCGCATTTTTTAAGTGGGCGTTTAGCAAAGCTTATTAGAGTATGCAGTTACCGTGATGAATATTGGTGGACGTATCCCCCGCTTTCGTTTTACTTTTGCATTCTTTTCATTCGTTTCAAATCTTTTAATCTACTAACATTTTCTATTTTCAGATGTCTGATTTCAATTGGAAAGCCTTCGACCCCGAAACGCGCGAAGAAGAGATGGCTAGGTTGAGGGAGCAGTTCCGGGGTCATCCGTTCTTCAATGGACCGGTAACTTTGTTTGGTTAAGCTTCAACTTTCTGTGTTTAGCTTTACGAGGATACCACTCCGACTACGTCTCCTGTGCCTACGTCTCCTGTGCCTACGCGCAGCCTTTCGGATGTTACCAGAGAAACACCAGGAAGCGGTGAGAGTTTTTATGTCATCATGGTTTACTCAATTTGTTTTAGTTTCTACAACTTTCACAGAGACGGGATCAATTGGATCAAAGCTTTCGTACGACACCGACCCGGAGTTCTCGGATATGAGCGAGCAAATTGAAAGAATGAATCGCGTTGAGAGTGCGCACGCCTTCGAGCCGCTTCCGCTTTACGACACACTTCACCCAAGGATTGCGCCTGCGGATCGGACGGGAATGGAGCTGGTGAGTTTCTTCACTATGTTACCTGTAATATTCTTTGTTTTTAGGTGCGCCTACGCACAAATATGTTCCCTCTTCGCGTCGATCCAAATCGAGTGGTCTATCGTTACGACGTCTGTGTTGATTTGGTTATTTCGTCTGAAGAACGAGGAGAGAAGATCATATCGTTGAACCGTGGACCAAAGGACGATAGTGAGATGGCTCGTCGCAATGAGGCCATTCGCACTGCCCTTCAACGAGCACTTGAAGTCTACAGAATTCTCACAGAGACCGGAGTCACAGTTTTTGACGGAACAAATATTTTGTTCTCAAACGAATCGCTTGCTGCGGCTTTGAAACCGGTATGTTTGTTAAAAGTTTAACTTGATTGTTTGTATCTTTTAGTATAGTGAAACATTGACTCTTACCATGGCTCAACTGCCACCAGGAATTCGTGAACTCATCATTTCAAACGATGCCAAAGAAATTCGTCTTTCTATCCGTCCTTGCACGTTAGTTTTTTGTAACACTAGATGTTCTCATGTTTATTTTTAGTGAGCCGGCTCATCGTTTCACAATTGGCGACGCTGAACGGAAAATTGCATCGGGTGAAACGGATCGACCTCTTCGGCAATTCTATGAACTTCTGACAAATGAGAGCGCTTTGAGGAAGTAAGGTTCTTTATTTGGTGGCTATTTTTTGTGTGTTGAAGGGAAAACTACGTCTTCTTTGGATCCGGAAAAGGCTATTTGAAAATGAATTCGTCGGATGCTAGAATGGATATCGGACAAGGACATGAGCGTCGCCAAGGATTTACTAAAGTAAATTCAAAGTACAAACAGGGGAATTGTTGGTTTTAGGGAATTCGATTTATTGAAGGCCCAAAAAACAATGACAATCGGCTGGTGACCGCTCTCGTCTTGGATGCAAAAATCGGAACATTCTACAAAGCGAATGGACTCCTCCATACGCTTGGTGAACTCAACAAATGGAAAGGACCCGAGGATGTGGTTTGGAATGCGCAAACACTGAAACGAACTAACACGTATCTCAGAGGTAAAAACTTGCTTATGCGTTTTAACAATATTCTTTTAGGACTCCGCTTACAATTTGCTGATTCGAAAAATTCCTTTATGTGTTCGGGACTGGACTTACGGGATAGAGATGACTCGGACCAAGTTGAATATCGGACACTCAACGATTGCGAAGAGAAACTCCCCGGAAGCACCAAGCTTATGCCTGCCATTGATAAATATAAGGCCCGCAACATTGAAATCAAGTATTTTTGCGTAAAGTTTAGGAAAAAATGCTACTTTAGGTATCCCTCATGGCCGGTCGTCGTGCAAAGGAAACTGAATCGACCTGACTACTATGTTCCACTCGAAGTCCTTGAAGTTTCTCCGTATCAACGTGTACCTTTAAACAAAGTTCGTTACACACTTCACACTTATTTTGAATAAAGTTTACTTCAGGCCTTGGTTGAGCCGGACAAAGCCAAGAGACCAGATGAACGCTGGCGCTTGATCAATAACCATTTGTCGACGCTCGATTTGGCCAGAGATACACCGATTCTTCATGGGTATTTTTATATTATCAATTGGTTTTAAAGTGAGGTTTTAGTTTTGGTGTTAGCATTGGTGCGGATGCCATTCGGACTACGGGATTCAGAAGACCTGCACCAAGCGTGATGTATGGAGGCGTTAAAGCAATGGTGGACCCTAAGAAGGTATGCATGTCTAAACTGAGTAATATATGAATGTATCAATTCAGGTGACTTGGCGATTGAACAATGCTCGTTTCAAAGATGGTGCGAAAGTGAATCTCCTGATCATATGCTGGAACGGCGCAGAAGGAAGACCTCGACCTGGTGAAGATCTACGCTCCGTATATAATGAAGTGCGAAATTTTGTGCCGACATTCATGAGTGCCGCAACAAAGAGAGGCATCAACATCCAGAGGGTACACTTTCTCTCTCTCTTGACATACAACTAGAATTTTTTAGCACCATATCCAAGAGGAACCTACTGACATGAGCAGCGAGGTTAAACAGGCCAATCTCTTCAACAGAGTAAGCAATTTATGGAGGATCATTCACTTTTTTCCTTCAGATCGTTGAAGAACAAAAGCAACTTGAAAGGAGCGGCTCAAAAGGCATGGTCTTTGTGATGTATATTGATGTAAGTTTTTTTCACTTGTATGCTAATGTTTGATATCTAGCCAGAAGAAAACAAGACGCACGGCTACTTGAAGTTCTTGGAGGCAAGGCATCAAATTGGTCAGTGCATTCTATTTTCTCCACGTCTCATGTTTTACCTTTTAGTCACACAACATGTCAGCCTTCGCTCAATCAGAAAAGTCAATTCGCAAAAAGGTGCTGCAACCGTTGACAACGTTCTCGCCAAATTCAATCTAAAGGCATTTGGCCTCAATTATACGGTATCTGCATATATTGTGAACTTTAATTAATTAATTAATTAGGTCGTGCCGGAGTCGTTTGCAAAGAATGAATGGACTCAAGAAACTTTGTTCTTCGGATATGATGTTTGGCACCCAACAGGAACGTCAGTTGGTGAAAGAGCTTTGGGATTTGCTGCAGAAAATCCTTCCGTTGTTGGGGTTTGTTGATATTGCTTTGTCTATAATTTGAAATTTTTAGTTTTCGCACAATGCAACGTCGGACATCAACTCATTCGTTGGCGACTACGCATTTCAAGAGCCTTTGCGAGAAAGAGTCAACGATCAAGTGCTCAACTCAAGAGTTAAATGGATCTTAAAACATTGGCAAAAGAATCGAGGCGCGACGTTGCCAAAGTCGATTATCATTTATCGTGATGGCGTTTCTGAAGGACAATATGAAATGGTTGGTTAATTTTTCACACAAAATTCATTATTGACGCTGAAAATTATAGGTGCTAAAAGAACTAACAGCTATCTGTGAGGCATGCGACGAATTTGAGCCGGGATATTCTCCAGATTTTGTAGTCATCGTGGTTGCTAAACGTAAGCCAAGCGTTTTCTTGATACGTTTTATGAAAGTTTAGGGCACAACAAGCGCTTTTTCAAAGAAGATGGAAGTGGAAACTTGGCCGGAAATCCAGATCCGCTGACAGTGGTTGATCAAGAAGTCACTCGAACGGATATTACGGAGATGTACATACAATCTCACATTCCTCTGCAGGTAGCGTTTATAACTAAGAAATTAACGAACTTTTTCATTTTTAGGGCACCGCCAAGCCCACGCAGTACGTTTTGATTCACAGCTCGGTTTCCACAATCACCCAGGACACTCTTCAAGCCTTAACCATTGCATTGACTTTCCAACATCAGGTAAATATAATTGTTTTTTTTTGGTTGTGTACACCTTTATAGATTTGTACGATGCCCGTGTCTATTCCCGAACCCGTGTATCAATCGGGTAACTTATTATTTTATTTTGGTTAAATAAATTTGTTTCCTAATTGTTAATTAACTTTCTGCTTTCAGATGAATGGGCGAAGCGAGGGTCTGAAATCTTGAAGGTCTACAAGTGAGTGGACTAGATTTGGGATTGCCTTTTTTTATTGACTGGTTCAGGGAAAATTTCAAGCTGCCAAGGAAAGGGGGAAACAATGCTGATCGCAAAGCACCAATCGATTGGGAACAAATGACGAGTCGCCTTGCATATATGGGAAAATCGCTCGATGGCATTAGAACAAATGCTTGATCTGTTTGTTGGTTTCTGTTATGATTCTTTGAATTTTGTTGAGATTTTGATGCTGTTAAAGATGAATAAATGTTACAAGTTAAAGCGAAGAAACTCAAATCGGCTAGTCCAAAGTTTTTTACCTCAAAACTATTGAATTGACACTTGTCAACGACCAGAGTGGTGTTTCCTGGTATTTTGGTAGCAGGAGTGTGTAGTTTGTCCAACTAATGGCGTCTGCTGAGTGCATTCTTTGGTCGCTAACCTTTTTTCTACCTTTGGCGCCAAATTTGACAAAAAAATTCAATTTTTCAGCCATCGTTCTTTGAAAACAATGTTTTTGATTAACTCTCGATTTAATTTTTTCCTTCAAAGAACGTTTTCGAAATTCATGTTTATCCAGAGAATGATGGTGAGCGGAAACGAAAATCTCCCAGCGAACGAGGCTATAAAAAAACCGAGGCTCGATGCCGAGGAACAGGTAAAGCTGGAATTCAAAAAATATTCTGAGGCTTACTTGCTTCCCTAAATTTAGACTTTGACTGTGCGTTTCGCTAAACTCAATGAGGATGCGCACGAACCAACGTATGGCTCAATTTGTGCGGCTGGTGCCGATCTCTACAGTGCCGAGAATTGTGTGATTCCAGCTAAAGGTACGTTTTATTTAGTTGAAAAAGGAATTTTTTAAACTTGAATAAGTTACTTAAGGGAAATATTGTGTATCGACGGGAATCCAAGTTGAACTACCTTATGGCTACTATGGACGCGTTGCACCCCGCTCAGGACTGGCCGCGAAACATTTCATTGGTAACGATTGTCGTAATATATTTGGCGAATATCTTAAAATTCTAGATGTGGGTGCAGGAGTAGTTGATTCGGATTATCGGGGAGAACTAAAGGTTCTGCTTTTCAACTTCGGTGACGCTGATTTTGTGGTTAGTTTCAACTTTGATTGTGAAGAGATAAATATTGTAGCTGAGATTTCAAATGAAAACTAGTTTAAGATTTTTGCAAATTCATTTGTATGTTTTTAGGTAAAGCAAGGTGACCGTGTTGCTCAATTCATTTGTGAGCGAATCGCTCACGTGAAGTACCAAGAAGTCGGCTCTCTGACGAATACGGATCGTGGGGATGGGGGTTTCGGATCAACCGGAAAATAAGCTGTCTACTGTTGAAAATGCAATGCTCTATATTTTTAATATTTGCTCAATATCATATCATTTTTCGATTGGTGCTTTTTGTAAACAAATTTCACGTTGAGTATTTGTCAATAAAATTTATTTCTAATAACCATTTTCCTAAGCCATTAAACCTTTACAAAAAATGAATGTCACTTGATTCACCATTTAACCTTGGATTTTTTTTCACAGTGGCGTAAGCCGCCTAGAAAAGACGTTCCGCAATTAGATAATGACTTTGAGAAAAACAGGATCTACGAGCCTTTAGTGGACATCAATAATGGTTTTTAAAAGTTTGGATGGCATATGATAAAATCTGAACAACGCGTCTATTATTTTCTATGCATTTCTGTCGCTTTGCAACACCATTTGATGAGTTCGGCACTTAATTAGTAGATCTTTTTGGAAAGAGATGCACATTGAATGTATTGGTGGATGTCATGCAGAGAGGGTCATCATTTGTGAGAAAGAGAGTCATCCATTGTCTCGATTTCCTTTGATCTTTCTTCTTTTCATCCACCACAACCATTGAATACCCATTTGGAGGCCGGAAACTGTGCAAATGACACCCCAAACAACCATTCCCCCAACTCGAATAGAATTCCACCTGCAAAAACACCGGAAGATAGGCAGGGGACATTCGGAGAAATTGGGTGGAATCGATGAAATGGATATGTTTTGTGGAGAGACCGGAAAAGAAAATGGGAAAGCAATGTTATGGGAACTTTTGAAAATCCTTCCATTAACCATATTTAGAGAACTTTCTTGTACTGTCTTTTAAAGTAATACAACTTCTGTAAGATTTCCGAGACCATTAGTGCCATTGAGTCATAGACAAACACATTCTAAACGATCAAATGAAATCTCACGGAAGGCCCTGGATGTTAAAGGATTTAATAGGGGAATCCTCGAGGGGAAATCCCTTGGGTCAACAGGTTACGATGTCGCAAATTGACGGTTAGATGGCTCTTTAGAGAAAAAAGGGGACTCACCAGGTCAAGCAAACATTCACCCGCAACCTCTCAATTAGGAAGAAGCCGAAAACCCTTTCGCTGATTTAATCGGCCGCGATGAGTCAAAGGGTTGATCCGACGTGAGATCAGAAAAGGAGACAGTTGTGTCAACAAAAAAAAACGCCCTTGCCTTTAGAACTGTGTTTTTTTTTCATTTAGAGAGGCTAAAATAGGTATAGGAATTCAGAGCACAAGGGACTTACAAAGAAAAAGATTTCATTACATAACAATATGGATTTTAACGCGATTTTTGAAGATTTTCTAGACAAGAGTTTACAGTCTCGGTATGAAAGAGGTTCACAAGGTTTTCCATCACTTATTTTGTATTTAAGTACAAATTTTTGGTCTGAAATTCCGTTTCTCTCTTGGTCTTGACTCGAGACTCGTTTCGACGACCGTTTTCGACTCTCTCCAAAAACTGATCAGACTTTCCTAAGCCTCAATTTCACCAGCTTATTACATTCATCCTTTTGTAAATTTTCATTTTCATTTGCTGTTCTCATCGAATCCCTTTCCAGAATTATGCACCCAATTCCTGCACGTCGTTCTCTACCCAAATTGTCCTCCAAAGAAAGCACAACCGACTCGAAAAATCAAGAAAATTACGTTCCTGAAACATAATCGTAATTTTCTTAATTCTTTTCTCTTTTCTCTTAATTCGTAATTCTCTGTAATGTTCTAGAAAAGCAGATCATAAAATTGCATAAAGCTTTCATAAAAATGGTATTTTATGAAAGCTTTTCAATCTCTATTTTCCCTCTATCATCCGTTTGTGCATCTAAGAGGAAAGTAAGAAGGATGTCCGAGTGATGAACTCTTTTAGCAGTAGTAAGAAAGTACAAAACATCAAATCAAAACGACGAAATTTGAATTTTTAAGTTATAAGGAAAACACTTTCGTAAAGAAAATACTTCATAAAGAAAACACTTTCGTAAAATACCATGATGCAATTTTATGGTCCACAACGATCCACGGATAACATTAAAATCGATTTTCTTTTAGAAAAAATTTAAAATCGGATCAATACCAATTTTTATTCAACTAAGAAAAATCAGAAAAAGTTAAAAGGAAACGTTTCCCAAGCTATCTTTACCATCCGCCAAGATTGAGATACGAGTAACAGCTCGCTTTTAACTTCTGGTATCAAGCAGATTGAGAGTGAGTGGAAGACGCTGAATCGGTAAAGATCTAGCTCCCTATATTATCACTGGGAGTCGAACCCTCGACACTTGCGTCTCTAGGCGAACACTCTACCGATCGAGCCATCCGTCTTTATTCGATCACAAAATTATGTAGACATTTTGCAAAAAAAGCTCTTATTCTCACTCTTTTCTTCGAAAAAACAACAACTCTCCACTTGTCGATTCCCGTAATCACAAGTTTCATCATAAAATTTCGTAAGTAAAATGTTTTTATTGCGTCAGAAAAGCCCTAATATCCTAGAATGATTCAAAATTTTGAAATAAAAACTCGGCAAGAAAACTCTCTTAGGCTTTTGCCCATTCTTGCCACAAACAAACGTTATCAAACCGTCTCGATTTTCGAAAGCCCTAGGGCGTTGCCTATAAAAGATCAAGTTTTTTCCAAGGGTTCATCATTTTGAATACAATGTTTTGTTTTTGCAAAGTTATTACCGTTTGGTCGGGCAGATCTACATTTTTGAAATCTTATACTAAATTAGAAATCACTTATGTAAAGAATACCATTTTTTTTTACTAACTCTCGATATAATGATTCTCTCGGAACCGCAAAATGGAATCGTTATATCGAGAAAATCGTTGTATCGAGAGTCGACTGTAGTTCCTTATCAATTCTAGGCCTCTTTTTGGAGAATTGCTAGAGATTTCTATGAATTTTACCTAATTTCAGATTCACTTGTCTTCAAAATTTCGAATGTTTTCGACAGAAAGTGATTCGGAGTCAGACCCAGAAGACGTGGATCAGGATATGACTGGAGATTCGGAAGACGATCAAAACTCTGGTGGGTCGATTTCGTCTTCAAGTGATCCGGTGTCAGACTCAGAAGAGGATCAGGATGAGACTGAAGATTTGAAAAGCGATCAAAACGCTCGTCGATCGATTTCGTCTTCGAAAAAAAAGGCCCCGGTGTCAAAGCCAGAAACCGTGGGTCGTAATATGCCTGGAGCTTTGAAAGGCGATCAAAACGCTCGTGGACCGATTTCGGCAAACTATCAGGGAAAACCAAGAAACGCTTTGCCCGGATATGCACGTAAAATTTTCATACTTTTCTGATCCATTCTTGTATAAGTGTAAAGAGCATCTAAAAACGGGGACTACGTGGATTTTTTGAGTCATTAATCAACGCCACAATGGGTTTCACTTATAAGAACTTGATAAGGATCAGAGGCTCATACAGAATCTAGACCCAAGATGGAGATTCGAATCCTCCTTGTTCCTAAATCTTTTTTGAAAAATATATGCATCTTATCGTTAGTTTTTCAGATGGCGGACCGTCTATGAAAGTCTCGGATTGGACACAGCGTCACATGCAACAGCAACGCGGACAGAAGAAAAAAGACAAAAAATAAAAGATATCAAATTCAAGTTTATACTTCGTAAAAATTTGTTTTTAAAAATTTGCTTGTAAAAATTGAATAAATATTTTCGAAAACAATGAGACATTAAAAGGAAGTCAAAGTAGAGAATAAAAGCATTGACGATCTCTTTTTCCATCCAGTGAACGGTCGATTGAGTGAACGGTCGATATAGCTTTGGAGTTTCTTAGAACAATCAGCATCTTCTTAGCTTCGAGCCTTTCGAGCTTTTTTCAAGTTTTTCTTTCTAGTTCATTGTCGCCTCAAAAAAGCGTCATCTAAAGAAAACAACAAACTTTCGAAAAGACTTTAAGCAAATGTGATTCAATTTTTTTAGGTTTTGTGACAAATTTTTACTTGTTTTATAGAATAACCTTGAACGAATAGCCTGGAAATTTCTTCTCCCTATTAACTTTCTTTTGAATAGACAGATTTTAATGAAACTTTTGATTTTTCTTAGTTGAACTGTTGAACTCTACTAAAGACGGATGGCTCGATCGGTAGAGTGTTCGCCTAGAGACGCAAGTGTCGAGGGTTCGACTCCCAGTGATAATATAGGGAGCTAGATCTTTACCGACTGAGCGTCTTCCTCTCACTCTCATTCTGCTTGGTACCAGAAGTTAAAAGCTAGCTGTTACCCGTATCTCAATCTTGGCGGATGGTAAAGATAGCTTGGGAAACGTTTCCTTTTAACTTTTTCTGATTTTTCTTAGTTGAATAAAAATTGGTATTGATCCGATTTCTATTTTTTTTCTAAAAGAAAATCTAAGAGGAAAGTAAAAAGGATGTCAGAGTGATGAACTCTTTTTATAGACAACAACAACGAAAGTACAAAACATCAAATCAAAACGACGAAATTTGAATTTGTAAGGAAAACACTTTCGTAAAGAAAATACTTCATAAAGAAAACACTTTCGTAAAATACCATGATGCAATTTTATGGTCCACAACGATCCACGGGTAACATTAAAATCGATTTTCTTTTAGAAAAAATTAGAAATCGGATCAATACTAATTTTTATTCAACTAAGAAAAATCAGAAAAAGTTAAAAGGAAACGTTTCCCATGCTATCTTTACTAACCATTGAATACCCATTTGGAGGCCGGAAACTGTGCAAATGACACCGCAAACAACCATTCCCCCAACTCGAATAGAATTCCACCTGCAAAAACACCGGAAGATAGGCAGGGGACATTCGGAGAAATCGGGTGGAATCGATGGAATGGATATGTTTTGTGGAGAGACCGGAAAAGAAAATGGGAAAGCAATGTTATGGGAACTTTTGAAAATCCTTCCATCAACCATATTTAGAGAACTTTCTGTACTGTCTTTTAAAGTAATACAACTTCTGTAAGATTTCCGAGACCATTAGTGTCATTGAGTCATAGACAAACACATTCTAAACGATCAAATGAAATCTCACGGAAGGCCCTGGATGTTAAAGGATTTAATAGGGGAATCCTCGAGGGGAAATCCCTTGGGTCAACAGGTTACGATGTCGCAAATTGACGGTTAGATGGCTCTTTAGAGAAAAAAGGGAACTCACCAGGTCACGCAAACATTCACCCCCAACCTCTCAATTAGGAAGAAGCCGAAAACCCGGATTTAATCGGCCGCGATGAGTCAAAGGGTTGATCCGACGTGAGGTGAGAAAAGGAGACAGTTGTGTCAACAAAAAAACGCCCTAAAAAGGCTTTAGGACTGTTTTTTTCCCTATTTGGAGAGGCTTAAATAGGTATGGGAATTCAGAGCATAAGAG